CTCGCAAGGATGGGTGGGGCCTCCACCTCCTCTTCCTCTTCCGTCTCTGCCTCCGCCTCCTCCGCCGCTGCCGACTCCTCCTCCTCCTCCTCCTCCTCCTCCGCCGCCGCCTCCTCTTCCTCCTAGGTGGCTCCTGGCTGGCACCCAGTCGCCCCCCTGCAGCTGTTTTGCCCGCGGGGGTGCGGGGCGCGCCAGCAATTGGGAGCCCCCAGCCCCAGGCCCCGCCAAGCGCCTGGCGCGACCGCCGCGGAGCGCGGCCTACAGCGGCGGCACGGAAGCGGCGGGAGCCGCGGCCTCCTCCCCCGCTGCCTCATCCAAGCGCAGGAGGCAGCCATCACCAGGATGGCATCGGAAGCTGCGCAGGAAACGCGGGCAGGCTCGCCTGCTCCTGCGCCTCCACCGCGCCGCCAACGTCCTCCGTCAAAACCACGGGTCCCGTCCTCCAGGACCCCTGCCCATGGGCAAAGCCGGCCGCCAGGATGAGTCCCGCGGTCCGCCCAAGGGGCGATGGGCGTGCACCGCGACGAGGCAGCGTGGTTTCCAGCGCAATTCTGCTGGCAACGACCGTTGCTTTCGCTGCGGTCGCGATCGGCAAGGGCGGCCAGATCCAGACGGAGGCGGGCGTGCACCAGCAGGACAAGGCCCCAGGCGGTTTTCGTCCGCAGGCGCGGCGCGACGTGCTGCCAACGGAGGCGGTCGGGATGCTGCCTCAGTCGAATCGGCCCCAGAGGAGGTGGATCCCATGGCGCGGGCACGGAAGGCGCTGCAGGCCCTGCGACGCCTCCAGCTGGACGACACCAGCGACCTCATCATCACCGCCAAGAGGCAGCTGGCTGAAGCGGAGGAGGTCGAGCTCGCCAGCCGCGCGCCAGACGACCTCCTCCGCAGAGCGCTTGACAGGCAAACCGCCAAGCTGCGTGAGCACGAGACAGCCGACGCCGAGGTCAAAGCTCTCCAGCAGCAGTTGGGCGACAAACAGGCAGCGCTCGCGACGTTCACTGATGAGCTGGCAGCGATCCGCCTTGAAGTGGCTGCGGCCCGAGCAGCGGTCATGGCGGCCACTATCTCGCAGGTTGGCCCCGACGGAATTCAGGACGTCGATCAGGCATTGGGGCGCCTTCAAGCGCTGGTGGCTGCCGCGCCAGCAGCCGTCCCAGCAGGTAATACCACCACGGCCCTCAGCAGCATCGGGGTCCACCTGCAGGAGCTCCACAAGGCCTTCCAGGAACACAAGCGCAGCGTGGCGCCACAAGTGGGACATGGGCCACCGCCCGCGGCCTCTGTGCCGCGTGCGGGTTTGCCTCCTCATGGTTTACACGCCTACCTACATGGAGCAGTCACAGCCCAAGACGTGGCCATGTCCATGGGCGGCCCCGCCACAGCCAGTTCAACTGCAACACCTGGTTCAGCGTCTGCAGCGACAGCGACAGCAACAGGTGCTGCCCCACCTGCAATCATCCCAGAGTAGTTGTGGCAAGATGTCTTTCTTCGCGCCTGATCTCCGCAGGCTCGGCGCATGCCGAGCAGCTGAGGAAGGCGCCCCTTCCATGCGCATAGGTTCAGATCATGCTGCAGTTTGGAATACACGCGGGCCTGATGGCGACTCAGGTGGTGCTTCTGGCATGGTTGTCCCTCGCGGATTAATTCCAGCGTCAGCTGATGGCGGCTCAGCAACGCGGCAACGTTCAGAAGATGCTCTCCCGGCGATTCTGGTCACGCGGCACTCTGAGGGCGAATCAGAGGCTGCGCTCGCTGGGCCAAGCAATTATCGGCATACTGGTGTTCGTCTCGATGGTGATGGTGCCTCCGCTCCCCCTGTGGCCCAGCCCACTGGCGCACCTGACGCGCTGCCGAACGCACTAGAAGAGGAGGAGCTCACTGACCACATGGAGACCTTCGTGGGCCACTGGCACGCTGACGTCATCACCTGGGATGACATCATGGCTCAGGAGTGCTGGGGTTTCTGGTGCGATCCCCACGTCGAATTATGTATACGAGAGCACGATGGTCTCATCAGCATAGCTCCTACTGGTGCACTGCAAAAGAAGTTGGCGGAGCGCATCTGTCACTACGCGTGGTTTCAACATGCCTTCATCTTCGCCGGCATTTGAAACACTGTCGGGCGATCTACCTGGATGGGCGCCAACGGTGGCATGGCATGATGGTGCAGCGTCTTCGCGCGCTTCGGGGCACCCAATTGCACCTTGCGAGTGGGATGGCTGGCCAACTGTTTGCTGACTTCACGATCGGCGAGGCGACGCGCGCTTTTGACGCTGGCTCGAACATGATGGCGGCACTCCGCGACAACACTGGCGACGCCCAAGGCGTCACGCCTGGGGAAAGTGATGCCCACCGTGGTCACCAACCGCCAGCGTCCGATCCTGCTGGTGATGATGTGGATGCAGGTATGGATGATCACGCCACCCTCATTCAGGTCAATGGCGGCGCGGCGACAGTTCTTCAGGGCGCGAAGGCCACTGAGAAGCAGCTGCGATCTGCTCGGGACCTGGGCCGCCCTGAACTGAAATCGAATAACCGAGATATCGATTTCCTGCCCTCGCGACATCGATGGTGCAAGGGAATATTGCACGTGCAGTCTGCCAACTCAGCAGGACGATTCCCAGTTTCATGCCACTAGCTCGTCAGGCCCGCTTCGCGTGGTCCAGCGTGGTGGTGAAGACCGTTGGCTTCCTGCTCAGTCTGCTGCTCCAGCGGGGCACCCGTGTGGAGTTGCCGCTGGCAGTGCTCGCCCTCCCCGACGTGCTCGTGATGCGGACGGGGGTCGTGCAGGCGACGGCACCTTGTGCTACTTCGCCTGCGCGCTCATGAAGCGCGGCCTTGCCTGCGCATTCTCGCCCGACTGCCCGGCCGTCTTCGCGGCCTCGGAAGCGCGCTCGGATGGCCCAGTCAGCGCCCACGGAGGCCTCTGCAATTACCCAGCGGCTCGCGGACCGCCCATGGAGGCGGGCTCCCAAGACGGTGTCAAAGAAGACGGATGTTCGCGTCAGCGCTCTTAATTCTAGTGGCTGGCCGCAGGCGAAGGCTCTCCTACAGGATGGGCCACGTAATGCCACTGTTCTCACTCAAGAGCACAAGCTGCATGGAGATCGGTACTTGCGGGCTGTTGAGTGGGCATGTGCGAATGGTTGGAAGCCTTTCGTGACCCCTGCAGTACCTAGCGACCATCACGATAGCATTGGCAGTGGAGGAGTGGGAGTCTTCGCGCCTAGCGACATTGGCGTATCGGTGCCAGGTCATTATGTTGATCCTGTTATTGTCCCAGCCTTTGCTGTCTTTGTGCGTACACATGCAGGGCCTCGTCATGGTTTCCTGGTCGGGCCCGCTCACTGGGAACAAGGGCGCCAATTGGGAGCCCCCAGAATGTTGTCATGCTGCAAGCTGCCGCCCTCAACGCCTAAGCGATTCAGGACTATGCGATCGCTTGCAGGCAAGGCTCATAGTTCCAACAGAAGGTATTTATCGTGATCCGAAGTCAGGAAAGCGCAGCCTCCTTGACTTCTGGATGGCCAGTGACAGCATCGCGTCTTCCAGCACCGCGCCAGTCACACTTGCGGGCTTCCCTCCCAAGTACCACTACGCGGTGATGGCCTCCATTCTTAGAGGTGTGCGGTCACATGCGGTCACGGTGCCATCGGGCCCTGGGCCCTTTCCTACACGGATGAAGGCCAAGCTCCAGGCGACCGAGGAGGACGATGACGGTGAATTGAGTTTTTATATTCCCAGAGGTCAGCCTGACACGCCTTGGACCGATCTCATGGCAGCGGATTCGGCGCACCGTCTGGGTCAACACGGCGACCATAGAGATCGACTCGGCCAGCTCAGCCGAGCTCTGCATGATGGAGCTGAAGCTGAGCTTGCGCCACTTTTTCAGGCCCCCGAAGGAGGGCATGACCGCGTGGTAGGACGCTCGCGTGGGCCTCGCTATCGCAAGTCGACCTCTGGGGGAGCGTTAGCCAGATTCCAGCCCTGAGGGACCCAGGCTTGCAGAGCTATAAAGATTCTGCAGCCTCGTGCTTATGAGTTCCGCCATGCTCGAAATCGGCCCCTCAACGAGTCTCGGGCTTGGGGCTTCCTCTGTGATTTTCTGTCGGAGGATCGCCGACGTGTCAGGATGCGAAAACACATGCCCCCTGCAATTTGCGAGATCGTCGTCTACCAGATCCAGCAGGTTGCGATCTCTCCCGCGGGCACCCAGGGACACCTCTTTCAGTTCGTAGGGGACTATCTTGGTCGCCCGGCCGTTAAAGAAAGGCGTCCAGGCTAGATCCAAATATTTTGCTGCCTGGCTTCGTGCAAAGTTGGATACACAACCTGAGCCAGTTCGCCGATGGACCAAGCCGCACGGGCGGTGCTTATCCCAGGTCGCTGGGGCTCTGGGGCCCACCAGCTTTCCAGGCGACGTCGTTCAAGCCCAACGGCAATCCTGGGCCCAAGTTTGGAAGGCGTGTGACGAACCACCCAACGGCGCCTTTGGGAGTATTCATGGCGAAACCATATCAGACGGCATCGTGGATGAAATGCGCCACCTATGCGAGCACGGTCCTAGGTTGCCGCCCCTTAGAATTGCTGAGCCACGCACCGCTGCGCTCCCATTTCAGCATCGCACCGCGGTTGGTGCAGACCGATTTTGGCCTCGGCACTGGGCGCTGTTGACAAACGAAGCCTTATCTTCCCTGGGGTATCTGCTTTATCAATGTGAAGTGTTTGGGACTTGGCCCGATGCAATCAGGGACGTCCATATTGGCCTCCTGGCGAAGCCCTCGGGGGGCTATCGGCCGATTGCCCTCCAGCCGTCGGCACATCGGATCTGGGCGAAAGCAGGGATGACCTGGGCTCGGGCTCGGGCCTCGCAACTCAACGGGGCCCACCTGGCCCTTGGCGCCGAGAAATCGACCACAGACGTGGCTGCCGGGGCCGAGGCTGGAGGACTAGGCTCCGACTCCAGCGGACGCGCACCACTCCGCGCCGTCGTTGGCCTT